ATTTATATAATATACGTATAATTATTATATTTAGAGTTATACATGTATTTAAAAAAAAAAAATTAATATTATTAATAAATATAACTATAACTATAAAATGAATGCTAACTTTTTTAAATCCAAAAACTTTGTACAATTTATTTTATAAAAAGCTTTCTTTTTTTTTTTTTTTAAGAACTAATATAGCATTCGTTTAAATTGTTAATATCTTTAGCTAACCATGACCAATTAATTCCCATTTTCCCATTTAATTTTTGTTCATACTGTAAAAGTTCATACATGAACCTAAGATTAGGTTGAATTATTACATTGAGACGTCTAGCACGAACAAAAAGATAGGAAGAGATAAGAGAATATCCTAGATGTCGCATAACATATGCAATCGTAATGGTAGCGGAACGAGAAACTCCTACGCGACAGTGAATAAGAATTTTACCGTTTGAAATTCGAGCACGTTCTGTAATAATAATTTGAAAAATTAGTTTTTTTGATTTTAAAATTTTTTTGATTGATATCCTGCGCAGGATACCCGGCATTAACTATAATGCTAGACAATTTTTTTTGTCAGGGATTTCTTCTGTCAGGATTTTTGTTATCGTGGTATATTACATTTCATTACATACCAATAAAATTAACACAAGAATCTAAATGATTCCAAAGGCTATCTATTCCATCGTCAAATAAATTATTCAAGTATTGTACCTCAAAGTCTTTATTATCAAGTCTAGAATCTTCCCCAACTGATAAAACATGTGTTATTCCAAGAGATTTTAACATACTTGCATTACAAGCATGATTTAAATTTCCTAAATATAAAAAAGGTAAAATTCTGCTCGGAAAACTTCCTTCAAAATATGGTGTATAGAACCACGAAAATTCCTCTTGTCTATTTGTTTCATCTTCATTAATCCCTTTTCTCTCAAATATACACCTCTCAATTCCCGCTAATGTATCCACATCATGTGAATATACAAAAAAACTGCGAATCTTTTGAAGTTTTAAATATGCTTGTGGAAGATTTAAATTTTCATGATACATAAGATATGTGAGCGCAAAAAGTGATGTTTCTGTGTAACCATCGGCGCAATGGATCAAAATTTTATGATTATAATTATTTGCTTGATTCGAAATGAATTCACAAAGATCTAATAATCTTGTAACTGCATAATTAAAGACATCTGGAGAATTAAATCCTAGACCGGTAGATATGCAATCAAGATGTACGATATCGTCAATTGACAACCTTGGTAGATGTATTTGAGCTAGTTGCTCAGTAATGAAGCAAAGTGTGTCTTTATCTGGCATTTCGGCAATATCATGTGATTCTATGCATACGCAAAATTGATGCGGGTTATCATCAATTAATGATATAGCAGAATCTGATGGATCTGATGGGTCCAATCCACTAGGAACGGGAACGTCCTGTGTATTACCCAACTACATAAAGTCAGTCAATAAAAAAATTACTTTTTTTACTTTGAAATTTATTATTATTATTTTTTTTTTTAAATACATGTATAACTCTAAATATAATAATTATACGTATATTATATAAATTATTTACCCAAACATTCGTTGAAATCTCCGAAGCTGAAGTAAGTATTCGCATTTCCTCTCTTTCTTGTTCCGAAAAATCGATTTTATTTCGTATAATACCTTGACTATCAACAGCTACAAGTTCCGGATATTCTTCTTCAAATATTGAAAATGGTTCTATATAATCAATATTAATGATGTCATTAATTCTTAATTCATTAAATAATTATGAGATATTATAATAATAAATTTTGATAAAATAATTGATTAAAAAAATTAACTCATACCAACTATCACAAATACTTCATATTCCAATATATTAGGATTTTCTTCTCCAAAAATTTGTTGTGCCCATGCCATTTGTTTAGCAATATTTAAAACATTTTCATTTAAACCATTCTCTCCATATACAATAATATCTGAAATAGTAGCATATTTCGCTACTTGGATCTTAAAATTTCTTAAATTAATTCCTTCACAGTCCGATACTTTTAAAAAGCCTCTTACTGAACAATCATTTGAATCTCCATAATCTAATATATCAGTTGGTAAAACAGATCCTAAAAGTTGTGATCGTAAACATTCTTCTGCTCCCTCTGCTTGCACTACTGTGACACCGCGATGTATTGGTACTGGATATTCCTCTTGATTGTTAAGACCAAAAAAGTTATTCTGTATAGGATTTTTGCCATCAATGCCATGTAACCATGGAAACAAATCATTAGGTAATGGTGTAGTATAGTAAGTTTCATGAATAAGATAATACTGTGAAATAGTTAACGCTCTTATAGGTGGATCTTCATTAACTAGTGGAAATGAATCAAACCCTATAGGTGAAGGCGATCGTATGGTTGCCGGTGAAGAAGAAGGTGGTGATAAAGGTGACAAAGGAGGAGTGAGACGAGAGGGCTGTTGCTGTTCAACAGCGGCAGCCATAATTTTTAAACTTTTTATCGAAACAAAAAAAAGTAGAACACTTAAAATTTTAAAATAATTAAATTCTCCGGAGTGGAGTGGACCTTAAACTTATCACGAGTTTCCTATTAAAAAATAATGTACAATACAATACACTAATTCTTTGTAATGACTTTTGTACTACTTCTAATTGTCATGTGAGTGCATTTATATTTCGAAATGGTAACGGTAATACCTATCAGTTTTATCACATGAGAATCTTTGTAACACAATATAATTACTACTGTAACTTACAATATCAGATATATGACTAACTACTGAACTAGCTCTAGTAACAAAAGTAGGCATTGACATTCAACGAAATTCTCCCTCCGAAAGCAATATTGTAATATAAAAAAACCAATACATTTAAAATGTGTAATGCCTTACGTATGCATAAAAACTTTAATGTTAAGTGATCTTGGATTTTTTCGATCTGATCAGTTAATTATTTCAAATTCGGTTAGTCGATTCTACAATTTGAATAAAAAATCAGAAACGATCTTCTACTGTATTTATATATGCATAAAGTATCCCCCCGAAAAATAGTACCCCCCATTTAATAAGACCCGGATATTATTCATCATCTATAAAGACTTGACTATGGTTAGTATCCGGGTACTTTTCAAAGTTGGAACTTTGTGAAAATTGATTAGTACTCAGGTACTAATACCGTAGAAATAAAAAAAAATTCTAATATCTATTAATGAGTGTAGTGATTAATAACGCCATATTAAATCTTCTAATTGTTTATATAATCATTCTATAGTATTCTGTCATATTCGTGTCTTTTTGTCTTTTTTACGCATAATTTCAAGTGGATTTTTATTATTCTTTCTAGTTAATAAAACAATAATATGGTCATATTAGATATTAGTAGTATAGTATAAAACCAATCAAGTAGTCTAATGCTTGTACAGCAAACTACTTAAAATAGACAATAACTAAAGTTGTATATGTAGCTTGTTATACACTTTTTATGTAATTACAAACAGTAGAGATTATTAATGTATAATCTTGTTTGTAATTCTAATAAAATTCTTTTAGCAATATAAGTCATTTTTAATACCAAAAAAAATAATATCTTTTTTTAAATTTTGGAGTTTATAAGTTTTATTATTTAATTTTAATTATATTATAAAGGATTTTATTTTTTTATTTTCAAATTTAGTTGATCTAGAATTTTTTAAGTCTTTTCTTTGTACTTATACTTTGTTACTAATTTCAAATTCTTCTTTTTGAATATTTATATTAAATCTAACTTTCTATTTCTTTTAGGATTTTTTTATTTTTTTTGAAATTTCAACTTGTAGATTAAGATGAGGTCTTATCTCTATCTTTATTTTTGTAAAATATCAGATATAGTTAAGAGTTTATTTGAAATTACTTGATAATAAATTATATATAAGAATTGAAGCTCAGATAATAATAAAATAACTAAAACTAAAGTAGATACTAAAATTGAAGTTAGATTAGAATTATTTGTGATCTAAACTTACTAAAATAGTCAAAACTCACTTAGATTTGATTAAAAAGAATATAGTTTATAGAAAAGCTATATTTAATCTAATGTATTAGCTAGTGTTTCTAGATTCAGTTCAGTTCAGTTCAGGTTCATAAACCAGATTTATTAAACCTAAACTAAACTTCAAATTTTGCAGATCATTGAACCTGAACCTGAACTGAACTAAAAATTTATGAACTTGAACTAAACCTGAACTTAAAATTTGGTTCAGTTCAGGTTCAGTTTAAAGTTCATAAACATGTTTAGATTCAATATTATATATATTTTTTTTTATATGTAGAACAATATTAGTTATATAATTCACATAACTCTTTCCAACAATTACTTGAACCTATGTAGAGCAACACCGACCTGTAGAAAAATTTGGAAAATATAACAAAAGGATACACAACTCCTTCTA